AGGACAAATTCAGTCTTGAATCCAAGAGACAAGTCCACATTAATCAGATAATTATTTAAAAGCTTCATCGCCAGGTGGAAATTATGTTCTATTTGCAGGCATGCTTATAGCCCAAGCACCTGGGATTACTAGTAGGCTTTCAGTAAATACATACTGAGTCAATCAGTGCTGATGTTTGAAAAGGCCATGCTAGGTCCTTAGTGTGGGGCTTGGAGCAGATGACTTTTAGCATTGTTTTTCCAGTCATCTGGCACTGCCCTGCCCACTGGCAGGCACACAGCATGTGCCTGTCTTTCTGATGCTGCTACTTGTGTCTTCTATGTCTCTCAAACTGTAACTTTGGAGACTGAAAATCAGTGTTTCAGAAGAAACGTTTCATTGAAGCTAATAAGCTTACCACATAGAATCAGTCTTCTCTAAATTTTGATCCCGCTCAAATTCGAATTAATTCAAATTGGTTTCCCCCCATAGACCTAAAAAATAGTTTTGTTTTGCTTTGTAGCTAGTTTTACTCTCAAGTGCTTTCTAGAACAAATTTCTGCAATGGAACGGCAATCTGTGGTCTTTGTTACTTGTAGTCCAAGGCTTTTCCAAGAGCTATGTCATATACAGGATATAATTTTTTGTCCTATGCATAAAATTTGGATTTTTTTTCTTTTTGGAAAGTTTAAAAAGCTGGTGGCTCATGCTTGTAATCCTAGTTACTCAGGAGGCTGAGATCTGAGATTGTGGGTCAAAGCTAGCCTGGGCTGGAATGTACTTGAAACTCTTATTTCTAATTAGCCATAAGAAAACCAGAAGTTGGGCTGGGAAGGTGGCTCAGTGGTAGAGCGCTTGCCTAGTATGCATGAGGCCCTGGGTTCGATTCCTCAGCACCACATAAGCAAAAAGAAAAAAGCTGGAAGTGGCGCTGTGGTTCAAGTGGTACAGCACTAGCCTTGAGCCAAAGAGCTGAGGGACAGCGCCCAGGCCCAGAGTTCAGGCCCCATGACTGGACCCCCTTCCCCCCCACAAAAAAAAAGAAAAAAAGAAATACCGAGATCACAGACCCTCTGTCTTACACCATTACTCCCCCTCACCAAAAAACTTGATTATTGTTTACAAAATACCACAGCAAATATGAACATTATAAACACCCAGTGACATTTACTGTTTTTCCTTGATGTTGAAAAAAGAACAGTCAGTCCATCTTCTTGCAGAGTTCTTTCGTGTTTTCATTGTCGTTATAGAATTACAGCCAGGAGACAACACTTCACAGCAGGCCATCTTGTAACCTGGTGTTTTCTGTCTGTCCAGTCCCTGCAGCAGAACCAATTGAATATGCTCAGTTCCCTTTCTACCTCAACGGCCTGCGAGACACTTCAGACTTTGTGGAAGCCATTGAAAAAGTAAGAACCATCTGCAACAACTACACAAGCCTGGGGCTCTCCAGCTACCCCAACGGCTACCCCTTCCTCTTCTGGGAGCAGTACATCAGCCTGCGCCACTGGCTGCTGCTGGCCATCAGTGTGGTGCTGGCCTGCACGTTCCTTGTGTGCGCCGTCTTCCTGCTGAACCCCTGGACGGCCGGAATCATTGTAAGTTTATTATAAGGGTCTTTTAAGGAAGTCAGATTCCATTCCTTTCAGCATAGCTCTTTCTGCAGCCAGGAAGTTTTGTTTATGTCTGGACCTTTGGAAGAGGGTATATAGATTGCATCATCTGTAATGTATTTATTCTACCTGAGGTGGCGAGGCTCATGGTGAAGGTAGAGCTTCAAATGGCCATAATCTTCTGTTCCCTTCTCCCTGCAGCTTTCAAACATGTGTCTACAATATATGGGACTTGTAAGGCACACTTTCCCTAATAGTTCTGAGCATGTATTTATTAAATAAAGATATATAAAGCAAAAAAAAAAAAAGCCCAATCTTTGGAAATTTTGAAGTATCATTTTGTGACCCTATCCCAGAGAACCATGGAGAAGTTAGGGTGCAAGTTTATGGGGGGAAAGGACCTTAGAGGTGCATTGATCCCTGGAGAAAAGAATCAAAAGAGGTGCCCGTGGCTTACGCCTATAATCCTAGCTACTCAGGATGCTCTGAGATCTGAGGATCACAGTTCAAAGTTCAAAGCCAGCCCGGGCAGGAAAAGTCCATGAGACTCTTATCTCCAATAAACCACTAGAAAACTGGAAGTGGCACTGTGGCTCAAGTGGTAGAGCGCTTGCCTTGAGCTGAAGAACTGAGGGACAGCACCCAGGCCCAGAGTTCAAGACCCACAACTGACCAAAAAAAGAGAGAGAGAAAGAAAGAATCAGTTGCTACTAATAATCTATTTTGAGGCGTCCTTTCCCCAAATTCCTCTCAGACATGAAGTGAGTCTCGTGTAGAGTCTAATAAAATGGCAGCACTTGAATTCCACAAACTGTGGTATAGCCTTTAAAATGCCAAAATTACAAAAACAGAGCAGATTTTGTTTCTGCACCATAAGTCTGGGCAACAGCAGGTATGTGAAAGGTAAATGTTTAGTCTGCAGGAATTTTCACAGCACTTAAACCATGGACATCGTCCATCTTTCATTATTCTCCACCGACCTCTACCTCCACCCACTGCCCACCCTAAGGAAGAATGATCATTTCCCCCATTACTCCCCATGTGTAAAGTGAATTGGGTAGATATTTGTATTTGTTTCCCCTTGGCCCAAGAAACACCAAAGTCTTCTTCACAGATTGTTTTTCCATTCCCCTACAAACGTTTACAAAGAAGATGAAGGGCAAAGGAAAGCTGTTCCTTGCATTTAAGGGTCTGCTTTGTCTACCCCAGTTGTTCCTCATTTCTTCAAAGCACAGCAACCCTGTAATGTGACACGCATCTACTGTTGACAGCTTTCCCATTAGCCTGCTCCCAAATTTTCTTCACTTAGCCTGTTAGTTCTCCAACAAAAGCTACTCCTTTATAAGAACCTTTATCTACCCTGTCCTGCCAGTTTTCTTCGGGGTGAGGCAACCAGACACAATAATTCAACTCAGTTATGATAGGACAGTTTCTGATGCTTAAGACTCTTGTTTTAAGTTGTAGCTGTCTCCAGTACTGGTTCTAGGACCCCTATGTGTATATCAAAACCCTTGGATGCACAGGTCCTTTATATAAAGCAACATGGCATTTATATAGGAACTATACACATCTCTCTAGATTACTTACAATGTCTGATGCAGTGAATGGTATACATAGTTGCTATACTGTATGTTTTAGGAATAATGAGAAGGAAAAATATGACCTTTTCAATACATGTGGAGGTTTATTCTTCCCAAATATTTTCAATTCACAATTGATTGAATCTATGGATATAGAACCCACACATGATGAGTCCATGACTATATAATTCTTTCTGGATTGTTCCAGTGGCATAGTCTCAGTCATGCTTTGCTATCAAGGACAGACATATAGAAAAACAATTGAGAGAGTACTTAACTTTGTTTTCATGTGTTTCTCCTTCCATCTTACAAATTGCTTGTCCCAGAGTCTCCCTTCCCAGCAAGAACTTGAAGTAGGAAGCTTCAAAGGACAGTTGTCCAAAGTAAAAGCGAGTTTGTACTTTGGTATTTGGGTATCAGATGGTTCTCTGTTCTTGCTCTGAAATAAGGCCAGATTAGCAGGCAAGGCCATGTGCAGTGTATCCCCTCACTGATGACTGTGTGTCTTCTTCAAGGTGATGGTCCTGGCATTGATGACAGTTGAGCTCTTCGGCATGATGGGCCTCATTGGAATCAAGCTTAGCGCTGTGCCTGTGGTCATCCTGATCGCATCTGTTGGCATCGGAGTAGAATTTACCGTTCATGTGGCTTTGGTATGGGAGATCAAAATGCAATATTTCCTTTAGTTCTTCCAGTGTCCAAGTGGGGACCTTTTCCATTTTGCCCACACATCACAGTGACAGGTCCTTAGGACACAGGAGTTCCCTGAGGAGGTCTGAAATGGTTCTGAATCCCTTTCCCTCTTGGGGAGACCTGGGGCAGGGGTATGGAAAGTGAGTGTTACTGGGAGCTTAGTTAGGCAGAGTCCTCTGTGTCAGAGCAGGCGGGGAGAGAATGTGTTCCTCTGATGTTGACCATGACTGCTATCACCTCAGGTCCTAAAGTTGTCACTTTTGTTCTCTGAACATATTTGTGAATGGGCATGCATACACACAATTTTAGGAACAATAATAAGGGAGAGATAGAACAAGACCACCTTCAGGCTCAGTGGGGATAGTATAATTGAGAGTGAGATGAGCTGGCAGCTGTGGAAATACCCTCAGGCCTGTGAGCAAAGGCTCAGATGCTCAGCCCTGAAATGCTGGCTCTTTACCTCAGCCCACCCAGCTCCATAAACCTCCAAGCCTCTGAAGTCAGCCAAAAAGCAAGAGAGCTAGGATTGTTTTCCATGGGATTTCTCCCCTCTTGTCCTGTGCAAGAGGAAGTTAAACATGAGGACAAATTCAGTCTTGAATCCAAGAGACAAGTCCACATTAATCAGATAATTATTTAAAAGCTTCATCGCCAGGTGGAAATTATGTTCTATTTGCAGGCATGCTTATAGCCCAAGCACCTGGGATTACTAGTAGGCTTTCAGTAAATACATACTGAGTCAATCAGTGCTGATGTTTGAAAAGGCCATGCTAGGTCCTTAGTGTGGGGCTTGGAGCAGATGACTTTTAGCATTGTTTTTCCAGTCATCTGGCACTGCCCTGCCCACTGGCAGGCACACAGCATGTGCCTGTCTTTCTGATGCTGCTACTTGTGTCTTCTATGTCTCTCAAACTGTAACTTTGGAGACTGAAAATCAGTGTTTCAGAAGAAACGTTTCATTGAAGCTAATAAGCTTACCACATAGAATCAGTCTTCTCTAAATTTTGATCCCGCTCAAATTCGAATTAATTCAAATTGGTTTCCCCCCATAGACCTAAAAAATAGTTTTGTTTTGCTTTGTAGCTAGTTTTACTCTCAAGTGCTTTCTAGAACAAATTTCTGCAATGGAACGGCAATCTGTGGTCTTTGTTACTTGTAGTCCAAGGCTTTTCCAAGAGCTATGTCATATACAGGATATAATTTTTTGTCCTATGCATAAAATTTGGATTTTTTTTCTTTTTGGAAAGTTTAAAAAGCTGGTGGCTCATGCTTGTAATCCTAGTTACTCAGGAGGCTGAGATCTGAGATTGTGGGTCAAAGCTAGCCTGGGCTGGAATGTACTTGAAACTCTTATTTCTAATTAGCCATAAGAAAACCAGAAGTTGGGCTGGGAAGGTGGCTCAGTGGTAGAGCGCTTGCCTAGTATGCATGAGGCCCTGGGTTCGATTCCTCAGCACCACATAAGCAAAAAGAAAAAAAGCTGGAAGTGGCGCTGTGGCTCAAGTGGTACAGCACTAGCCTTGAGC